TTTCAGGTTTGTCATGGATGTTGACCAGTGTTCCAAGTTTTTGTCATCAAATTTGTCATAGAGGGTGACCAAGTCACAAGTTTGTCAGACAGGGTGACAAAGTTACAAGACTGACCTTTAGTGTGACCAAGTTACAAGTTTGTTCTATAGGGTGACTGAGTTACAATTTTGTCCAAAAGGGTGACCAAGTTACTACAGTTTGTCATACAGAGAGTTATAACTTGATTGTTCTAGAGGGTGACCATGATAAAGCCACAGATTTGTCCCACAGGGTGACTCAGTCCATCCTACAGTCAGACAATGTCTCCAAGTTCAAGTTTTCTTTGTTTAAACTTGGTCACCTTGCTGGACAAACTTGTAACTTGAACTTGGTCATCAACAAACTAGTGACTTTGCCACCTTGTAGGACAAACTCTGACAAACTATTGATTTGTAGAAGACAAACTTGTACTTTAATCTCCCTGTATGATAATTTTGTACTTGTGGACTAATATTCAAGACCATGTAATGGAAACAACGAAACCTGTCAAATCTGCAACTGTAGATGCTGTTCCTGCATGTGCTTATATAGCTTTACACTAATAACAAAAATCTGAAATATAGTTTTAACAATTATTAAACTTGACTTGATTTACAGACTGAAACACAGATTATATCCAAGTCTTAGGTACGTGTATAGAGTAGAAGTTCCAGCTTACAAAGAATAAATAAATGAACTGAAATCAATGAATACAGTGTAGAATGTCAAAATATGGATTTGATAATTTCCTGTGTTTCAACCATGTAAACCTTGACAAATGGTGCCTGATTGTCTTTTATTTTTACAGTTAATTATTGGATATATACAGAATATTTACAATTTACAAAATATACATTATACTATATTCAAATTACTAGTTGAATTCTTATAGTTACCAAAACATCAAGGTACATGCATTCACGGGGGTCAAACTATACACGAAAACAACCGTTAATTTGGATGTTTGAAAATCAAAAATTGTTAGTCTCATACTAAAGTTCCATTCAAATGAAAACAAAAATGCCAATATATCCGTGCGTTGCTTTATTAAACAGAGTTCCTCGTTTTAGCGGTGCTTCTCACAGCTGGGGACGCAAATATCGGTAAAAGGAGTGACTCTGATAACAGTATAATGTACAAACAGAAAGGCATTTTTGTTTTGCTTTTAATGGAACAAGTTTAAAGAAAAACGGAGCAGTATGAGAGTCACAAACGTTGATTTTCAAACAATAAATGGTCGAAGTTGGCACCGCGTGGTTAGGGACAAGGTCAATTGAAAAAGAAGTAGCCTAGTCTTTCAATTTGTAATTTCTCAATGCCATTTTCTTTCGACCTAGTGCCTATGATATTAGTATTGTTTTGTATTTTATGAATTTACAGTCATGTACAGAAGCACAGAGGACCACGGTGGATCAGATATTTCCTTTCAACATTCCTCCATATTCTTCTTAGATAATTCAAATTGTTCCAAATGTGATTTTAATGCAGCTCTTCAAGTCTAAAATGTTTTTGAAACACGAATCAACTACACATTTTTGCGTTTGAGCATGAGACTCCGTTATATCATTGGTATCTCAGTCAAGTATTACTTTTACATGTAGCCTACTGCTGTTAATTTGCGATGGCGTGTTTTCCATGCATATCAGATATGTTATTTTTCTTTCAGCTTGTAATCATTTGTGAGAGTTTATCTCATAATAGATTTAATATTTTGGTATCATACATATCCATTGATAAAAAAGCATGCATACAGCATCGGTTTAAGAAGGTGCTTCTGTTTGAGATTTGTTTTTCATTGTCTAAAATCTCATTACAATGGTTACTGGCCTGGGGTATGGCATAAAACTCTTGCCTATCTATATGTCAAAATGTTTCCGTTGTTCGCCAACTGGAGCTACTGCAGTTGAGCTTAATGTCAGGGGTGCAGGGCCATGATTTTGTATGATAGGGTCTACACCAGAATGCTGGGGAAACGTTGATGGTTCTGCGGGTAATGTTGATGCCTCTGTTTGTCCAATTGGAGGTAGCTTCTCTCTGTAAAGATGGCAAAAACTTTTATTAGAGATGCTCTATGTAAGCATCTCTGTCTATGATATAATAATATTCGAACATGACTGTATTCACGCCTTCTTTAAACTGTGAACAAAGTTAACATTTCACCCGGGGCATATTCGCGATCAATACCCCTGTTTATAAGAGTAATGTGTGATGTCATAACGGCGGGCCATAGTAATGGCGGACCATAATGAATATTCGAAACATTTTGGTGAGTTTTAATGTTCGAATCGTAATATAGACCTCAGAGCAGGTGTAATATCGTCGAATACACCCCGCAGGGCTAGGCCCAAACGTTTTCTCGGTCGTTCGGGGTACTCAAGCTTTTGGGCCTAGCCCTGCGGGTTGTATTCGACGATATTACCCCTGCTCTTCGGTCTATATTTCTTAATTAAACATGTGTTAAACCAAAATATTATTATATCAGATTTTGAATTTTAATATTATTTCAGGAAAAACATTTGCCCCGTTTTAATTTTCGTAAATATATTGATATAATTCTTTTTCAAGAATCTAATGCTCAACAATGTTTTATGGTGCACGAGTTACACACATGTGGATTTGCCATCCCGTTATGAGCACCCTGCTAGATTTTATTAAACAGTGGAGGACACGTTGTTGTTTTTTGAAAATCAAATTATAAGCCCTGTATACACTATAAATAAATTTTCAATCGTTTCTGATTCGTTTCAATTGCCATTTCCTACGTTTCAATGCTTGCGTCATTTCGAGCATTTCAATCGATTCGCCGAAATGAATTCAAAGTTTCTGGCTGTTTGCGCCTGTTTCGCCGTTTCAAGCATTTCAATCCAACGACCAATTCATGAGGAGACGCTGGACGGGTGAAACGATTAAAACGAAAAACGAACATGCACGTTTTTTGTTTTAAGCATTTCGCCTGGTCTTTTCAACCGTTTCAATCAATTCAATACGTCTTGAAATATTTAATTAATGTTGCGCTGTTTGCGCCTGTTTCGCCATTTCAAGCATTTCAATCAATTCGCCTAAGCTGTTCTCTTTCATTTCAACAATTTCAAGCATTTCGGCCTTTTCAACCCCCCCCCCCACCACCGTTTCAAGCATTTCGCCTGCCATTGTATACACCCATATAGAGTACATTCCATAAAATAAGAAAAGCCAGTAATTTGGTCAGAATAGTCGGGGTAAAGGGAAACACTAGGTAACCCCAGAACAATTGGGATTACACACACATAGTACTTCGGTTTTTAATTGTAATGGACTCTTGAAATAACAAAATAAAGGTTACTTACTTACACGTTAGCTGGTGGGTCTGAATTGGGTATCGGGATTGTTGTCTGTTTGGTGGGGGTTAAAGGGATGTTGGTTGGTTTCACTGTGTTTGTTTTCATCAAGGACCGGCTTATTGCTAGGTTCAATCTACTTTTGGACTGAAAAACAAGTAATATAAAAACAAGTAATTAAGGTTAAATATGTGCCATCAATGTTTGAATACGTATTTGAATTGACTTTGACCGACATTGAAAATCTCAAGATGTTTGCCTATTGTTACTCGTAGGAAAGACATAGACCTTTGGTTTCAAATGATTTAATGAACATTTCAGAATATACCTTTTCTTGGTGCAAGCTGACTTTCCTCTGTAGTTCTACCTTGTAGTTGGAAGAGTGGCGCAGACACATGTTACTTGTCTTCTGTGGCCCTGGTCCCACGATACTGGTGGTAGATCCTTCAATGTTCACCATCTTGTTCGACGGGGCATTCTCAGTGGGAACGATCAGAATGACATGTCTGATCTCATCATCTTCCACAAGTATCAGTTTGTTGGTGTTCCTTGGTAAGACGCATGGTCCTTCAACCTCCACTCTGGAGTGAGCGATTATACCTTTACCTGTAATCATTGTGCAATCATATTCAAGAACTAAAACCATGCTTTCAACATTAGAACCGTCTTTCACAGATGTGCCTGCATCATGGCTTTGGGCAAACGTACCGTCCTCCTATATAGACATACGTTGTTACTTTAGGTACTTCTCCCTTTCGTATTATTTACTTGCCAGATTGAGAATAAAGGGATAAGTAAAATAATTTTAATAGCGTCAAAATCATCTATTCACGAACGAAAATGTGTAACTTAACCTTACACTTTCCCCGCATATACACTCTCTCGCAGACGTTTTTGGCTTTTATAGACATACCTTGTATAAGCAGTGTGTCTGCAAATGATGGGTCAACCATGATGAACTTCTGATCACCATGGAGATCTACCAAGTAACTCTTCTCTAGATGAAGTTTTATCTTTTCCTGTGTCCAACCCTATCAAAATTAAAGAATAAAACAATAATGTTTTTAAACTATTGGTGAAGGTTTTGATATATCGGTTTTACTCGTATATATCAAAATTAAGAGTTTGGAGCAATGTGATCGTGGCAATGAACAACGTGAAGATGATGAACGCAAAGAATTGCATCTGACTGAAGCCTTATCTTAAACGTGCCTGGAATGATGGGAGTTTCATCAGAATACCACATGCCAACCTGATGGCACACACTCGCCAAAGTCTATACTCGAGCTGGGAGAACAGATTCAACGCTCGCATCATATCATTACCACTGATGAAGTACAACTGGAAGATAAAACATATAGGATTAGATGAGATAATTCAGCAGACAAAATCAATAGCTTATGTACACTACATATAAACATAATAGGTTTTTTGTTACTGTTAACTCTCCGCCCTTATTGTACAAAATACAATTTCACATTTAACGATACGACTTGCGTCGAACCAGGGAAATATTTCTTCATTTATCCAAACCTGGACTGACGTTTCCGCTGTTACTGTAGCTGCGCGTGTTTTCTTTGTTAATAAGCCAATCTCTCCGAGTACACTTCCAGGCGTTTGGAAATCAAGAAAACTTTCGGACATTGCGACACTTTCCTCGGGAATAGAATCATTATTCATTTCGCCGCCAGTCTTCAGTGTTGTATCCTCATCTTGATTTACACTGTTATATTGTACTTTACCATCTAGCTACAAGAAATCAATTAATGTTGTTATCATACCTGCACGGATGTCTCTGATGTAGCAGTGGCAGTCCGTGGGCGATCCAACAGTACGCCCAATTCTCCGATGACGTTTCCAATTGTCATATAGTCCGTGTAAATCTCATTTTGAGTGAATATAGAAGAGTCCTTCGATTCAGTAATATCAGCAGTTCTATCTATCACTGTGCCTTCAAACTGTAACACAACAACATACCACTCAACAACAATTAATGTTCACACATTCAAGGTTAATGATACCCCAGTTCGACTTGAATTCACGACCATACTATTTCCATCTATCTAGTAATCTACTTATTTACAAATGTGACTATTATTTTTTCAAAGGGAATGTTCTGTGTTACAGTTGTAGGACTGTCAAAAATTACCAACTCTTATAAGGTATTTAAATATTCAGGATTTCAAATAAGATCTCCATTTTCGCAAACACGTATAAAGTTGTGATATATACTTACCCTAACGATACCAGAGACAATAATGTAAACACCTTTCGTTGATTCGCCCTCACGCATGATCACTTCGCCATGATTGTAATGAACCAGTTCGGCACAATCTTTGAGGAAGGCGAGCAGTCTTTGGTCCTTTGCCACCCAGGACAGATTGCCCATGATATCCTCTGGAAGTGGAGGCGGGATCGTCGCTGGTGCACTCAATAATCTTTTCATGCGTTCTTCAACCATCTATTGCGAACAAAATTCAAAACAATTAGATTACATGTAGATTGGGGGATGGTGAATCATTTTTATGTGCAATGAAATTGTACATGTGAGGTACAACAGTCTTAAATTTTGAAACTCATTCAATGTTTCTGTAATATATAATTATTATATTATCTCCAAGCAATGGAGGGAAAATGATAATAATCACAATAATCACTAATAATAATCATAACAGTAACATTTAGGTCTCTGTAGATAGATCACATTACAATAATGTCACCTATTTCATTGAAGTTATCGAAGTGGATGTGTGCAATGTCGCAGAAATTGTTTTGTATAACACACACGTATTTTCCATTGTACTCTTTTAAATTATTTTATTTACTTATTCTATAATAATAGGTTTACCAACCATTTCAAGCTTTACGGCTTCTCCTTCGTCAAGCAGTCCATCTCCTTTCTGCTCATGTATGCAGTCCCTCATGTTATTCAGGATGGTTCTAATGGCTTGAACAGTCTTTACCGATACAGCTATACCCGGATGCTCTCTCTGCAGCATACCTACACAAGAAAACTCGATCACATAGCGTATACTCCATACAGTTGGAAAACTTTGGACATATGTTCTTCAGAGTGGACAGCAAGATGCTGTGTTGAAATTATCTCTAGACCACAAATCTTGAAAATTCTTAGGCCCACTCTTTATTCACACAAATCGTTTGACCAGGCGTAATTTGACCAAAGCGTTTTAAGGCCTCGGGTTCCAAAGTGACATGTATGTTTCCAATTTTACAAGGAAAATAAAGTGAGGAAAACCTTGACTCGATGGGTCTTCATCCTCCAAAAGCAGGGTTCCAAAGTCCAGATTATCTTCTTTCTACGGATTCTGGACAACTGCTTAGGAGGATGAATGTCTTGTATTGTCTAACTGTTCCAAGAACTACCACATTCGCAGTACCTATTCAAAGTACCACATATTAACATGGAGTAAATACATTACTACCTACTTACCCAACTCCTTTATAACTTGGAGTCTGCCTTTATCTATAACAACTTTCAGTTCTTTAGCAATGTTGCGATCATCCACCATCTGATCCACGACTTTCCTAACTTCCTCTTCGCCGAATATGTAGCCCTTTCCCACATCATACCCTAACCTCAACTGTTTGTTGATCCTCCTGTTTATTACACCAATCATCTGTGGTACTGCTGCCTAAGAGAGAAAAGAATACACAGGAATCTTAGTAGCAGCATACTTTAAAATTGAGAAAAGCCATAGTAACTGTAGTTTTATTGCTTTTATGCATCCGGAGGATGAAATAGATAAGAAAATAAATTAATTCTAGGATTAACAAACTAACGTGGTTTCAGAATAATGCTCTCTGATATATTTGAAGAGTGATTTATTATTGAGGCTTCAAGTGATTATTTACAAACCTTGAATAATCTCAGCACCCTAGAGATCCTCAGAATTCGGAAGATCTTAACTACTTTGAATATGTTGGTAGTAGAGGTAATGTTGGAGACGTCATCCTGGTTGACAGTCAGTTCAATGATTACATCCGCCACAGAGAGGAAGATCAAAAGCAGATCAAACTGATTCCAGTGACTCTTGATGTACTCAAGTGGTCCATATCCGAGGGTCTATAAAACAAGATGAGAGTATTTTTAAAACTGACAGGTAGGCTGCGAACGTTTTGCAAGTTCGATAAACATCCTGCCGATTGTATGTTTTGCAACATTTTCTATACGATGAACCAAATCCAAAGCAAGGACATTTTCATTTTTTGTGTTTTGAACTTATTTGCATTGGAACTGTTTACTTGGCCGATTGAGCATAACGGAAGACGAAAAATTATTGTAATTAGGTCACAGGAAAGGGGTATGAGAGCGGGACAGTAATCCCCGGTGGCCGAAGTATTAACGCGTAACAACACCAACGACTGACTAAAGACATCAGTCAGTTGAGTTAGGTTTTATCATTTACGATCGTTCGTCATTAACATTCTTTAATACCTACGCCCACCTCGTCTTTATCTCCTTTGCAGTTCGTTGTAGTATAAAGTATACACGCCCGCACACCATTAGCGAACTGCGTTGTCGTAGCCATGCCTATGTTATTAGTATACGTCCCTCGGACGTATTAAGTACGCTGTCATGCAGATCGGGATGGCAAACTGAACGAGGCCTGAAGCCCGACACAAAAAATAAAACAAGCATAAACTGCACATTTCCTTACCTTGATGACGGCTTCTACAATGTAGCACAATAAGAACACATAGTTGCACACTCTGGTGGACCAGTCAAAATATGGACTATTCTTTAACACTGTTATGGTTTTGGTCCCATCGAAGATCTCTGTTGGGACCTGGACTGCTTCGGGTCTGGAGTATGTAAAAACCAGTTCAATGATCACTTCTGTGCAGTTTATACCAATCAGAGCAAATATGGCATATTCAAACCAATCAGAGCGAGCTATTATATTACACCGACGTCTGACTTTATTCTCAGGTAGTACAATTTCTTCTTCTGGTTTCTTCATTATCCACATCTCAAGACGACGTTTGATGTTAGCATAAAACCTGCCTACTTTCCACGTTTTCTTCAGTTCTTCTACGTTAATGAAAGCCCCGATCACATCACTTGCCGTTTCCGCAGCGTCAACCAATTTACGAACGGCCTCGCGAGACAGCATTCCGTGCTCGAACTGCTTCCAGTAAGCTATCTGAAAATATGATCTGATAATATTCAAACTGGTGGCGCAAAAATTAAATTTCATTCTTCGAATAGTCAATTTGCATTGTTGGAACCAGCAGAAATGTTCCATATCTAATGGCCTGAGATTTTGTGCTATTCTACAAATGGAAGATACTGTAACTTTCACAGTTATATAATAATATTGCGATAAATTCTGACCTTCTGTGCTTTGAGTACCCTCAGTCTGGCTTCATTTTCCATCTCTTTGAATTCTGCAGGTGATGGAAGATTCTGAACTTCATGTTCGCAATATTCACAAGTGCTGGTTCTTTGTAAATATGTCAGGTTTTCCAGTTCAGCCTAAGCAAAATAATGTACTTTAGGATCAGGACAGAAACAGTTATTCAATGTAAAGTGAGTCCATAACCTCTCAAAACTTCTAAATTAAATAAAATCGGTGTGACTCGTAAGTGCGAATCTGTCTTACCTCTTCGTCTAGCGTGTGATATGGGTCTTGGACGCTGACCATTTTCTCAACCATGTCCCAATCTGCGTCTGCCAGGAAACGATCTGTTTTCAACATACTGAGAGTGATACGTTGGCGGTCCTCAAGATGTCTCACTGCACTAGCCATTGCCATCCTTTTAGGCGCAGAAATATCACTCATCCCTAGTTATCAAAAATACAACAGTCATCAACGTAAATTTCATATTTTTTGTTTTTGAAAGATATAACTTCGTTTTGTACCTTGCGCGCAGAGTCTAGTTATACATATAAAGACAAAGCGAAGTCAACGAATGCAAAGGGCATTTCTTTCCAATTATGTAGTATTGAACATTGAAAGCGACATTCACTGCTGGTTAAAAGATGTTTAGAAATTCCTCAAGATATAAGGTCATAATTAATCAGATGGTGACAGAATATGAAATTATATAATTTAGGCATACGTACATGTATACTTAATATTTCATTGGATTAACAGAACAATAGATTTGGTTGACTGTTCATTTCATGTTTATTTATGTCGCATACCTGCGTGAGAAACCTTGATATGCAGCCAGTCTCGTATGCGTTAGGATTTAATCTTTAAAATCTATTTCTGGTATAGCAGGATGATCACTGATTTTGCATAGTATAGTACATACCTAGTACTTTCAACAGTCCTGATATAGTTGTCGCATTGATGGCCAGTGTTAATACTACGATCCCTGCTGTGTGCAAGAACACCTAGACAGGACAAGAAGCATACACGATAAAAAATGATGAAGATAAAATAACCAAGAATACGATCCGTTTTATCTAGATTTGATCATAATACTCTTAATTGACAAATATTCTATATTCTATGGATTATGCACAAATATAATTATGATCGTGGTACAAAAATCTTTAAAACATAAACTATGCTATTCTCAAGCATGCAAGCCTTTTTTAGTTGTCATCGAATGAGCAATAACTGATTTTCCTTGATAAATTAATCATTATTGACTTGAAAATATTGTATTCACCTATTTTGGTATCTTTAGTCTGTAAACATATGCTAAATTTGTAGCTGTTCTTGACTAAAATAAATATATATTTAAAAAGAATTAGCCAAGTCTACCTTATTCCCTATCCGTTCATTGTTGAGGTTAGAATCTTGTACAACTTGGAGCGCCAACGCAAGGCCAACTGCTCCACGGAGGCCTCCCCATGTCATCACTAACCCATTGCGCCATGGCAAACCGTAACCAATTCTTGCTAGAATTGGACTAAAAAATCCTATGGTGATTCCTCTGAAATACATTATTTATTTTGTTATTAATAATTTTAATAATTTATGCATGTTCTTGTCAATCAGGATTTACTTTATTCAATAATTTTCTGAGGCATCATTTTGACACTCATAACATGTTTCCGTTTCAGAAAAATGCCCTGGTATTATGAATCGCATTCTTTGATATCTGCTTATTTAGTTTGAATAACAATATCTGCCATTAAGGTATGTTACTCACTTAAATAAAGTAACAATTATTTGACGATATAATATCAATGTCAGTTTTGGAGAATATACATTTCCATCAAACCCTATGGTGATTTTTGCAAACTGTTTTCTACATTTTTAAGTTTTGTGTGATTATGAATCACTTAATGACCATGATGACTTACATACTCTTTATCGTAAAATTATTTCAGACCTTAGTATATTACCACCTGTGTGATGACTTCAATAAATGCCCATAACTACATACACTGCCCTCGATAAGTTTGGCACCTTTTTTTCCCCCATTGAACTACGTGTTAAAGCCTCGTCGCCTTTGAATTTTTTATTTACTTAACCTGCGATCAAAATACTTATACTATTGATGGAAACGTAATTTGACTTTAATTTCAATACCTCCAAATTTTCTCAATTTTTTCCTCAATTACAATAGGTCGAAAATTGATGATAATTTTGATGAATTTTTGAAAATCGACATTCCTATGTTAACCAATGGGAAATGATAGGTTTGCCGCAAGTCATATGACAGAATATCCATCAATCCGAGTCCTTGCAAAAAATACGAGTAAGGCAGGAAATTGAATTTGTTAACTTTATTTAACAAAAAATTGATATGTTTCTTCAGGTTCAACAAAGTTATAGGGCTTTAAAGTCAAAATTGTTTTTCAAAAAACCTCTCCCATTGAAATAACACAGGAGGCGAAAAATTATTTTCAAAAATGACTTTAAAGCGCTGTAACTTTAATATTAAACCAAACACTTAGTGTTTAAAAAAGTAAGACAATTCAATTTTCTATATAAAAATATTTTTTGCTGAATCTTTTACTGAAAAGATATCCCGATTTCTGATTTGCCCCGAACCCGAACCCATTGGATTACATGGGAATGAACATTTTCAAAAATTCATCAAATTTATCATCAATTTTCGACCTATTGTAATTGAGGAAAAAAGTCGAGAAAATTTGGAGGTATTGGATATAAAGTCAAGTTTCGTTTCCATCAATATTTTAAGTTATCTCATCGCCGGTTAAGTAAATAAAAATTGAAACGTAAAGAGGCTTTAACACGTAGTTCAATGGGGGAAAAAAGGTTGCCAAACTTATGGAGGGGAGTGCATATAGCCGCCCTAATGTAATAGTCATTGTATTCTAATGTCATTGCCGTGAGATATTAACACTGGCACATGATTACAACACAGAGGGTAAAATAGGGATAATAATACATAATCTAAGAAATTATCCTTAATACTTATGGTGGCCATATATGGGTAAAAAGTTCTTACATTCTATTCTAAAAATAATCCACTGGAATGACAGGATGGTGAATTCACAGGGATAATTATTATTACAATCTAAGAAATTATCCCCTCGATATATGATGGGGATTAAAAACAGATCTCACATACATGTCTACTAACTAAACAATGTAGAGTTTTTTTTTATTATCGTGGCAAATTGTTAATTTCTCACCGTATAACAGTTATTGCAAAGTAGAGAGCGAGCATATAAAATGCATCCAGTCCAGTTATCCCTCCCAGAGCACGTTCTGTGATTACAACACCAACAAGGATGAAGATCAACGTGTTCGCTAAGTACGCCAACATCTCCCAGAATCTGCAAGCAAATGCAAGACTGGGTTATCTGCATATTGAAGCTACAGCAAGTAACAAATGTTTGGTAGAATATTTGTTGACATGTTTAGTTTTCCAACAAGATGACATTTCATCTTAGGATGTGTTTACCGAGAATTTCTCAAATATTTACAAAGACGATGAGTTCATTATATCGACTATCTTGAGATTAACCTTACACGTCTCTGTTTCATTTGATCATCATCTAGTACTACAGGACCTTTCCATACTAAATAATAGGTGCAGATTTGAAATAAACTAGATAACAGCAACACCAAGACGTAGCAAATCCCATAGAATGCTGCCATGGCTGCCATTTTTGAAATAGCGGCCTATTAGCCCAAATTTTCATTAGACAGGACTTCAATATGCTCCTAAGTATTCACATACAAAATTCCGACAAAATCTCTCCACTACTTTTCAATAAAGTAACAACGTAAAATAACACACATAAAAATGGCTGCGCATGCCATTTTTCAAAATGGCAAATCACTAGCCAATTTGACTTAAGAGTAGCACGTTTCTTCTAATCACATATAGAATTTCAATCTCAACGTCAGAAATAAAATTTTAACAAAACAATATTTTTCGAGTTATAGTAATAGAAAATGTAAAATAACACAAATTGGCGGCCGTTTTTCAAAATTGTGCCAAGTGTATTGTAGTTATTGTCCGCACGGGCAGACGGACGGAGTCGTTCTCTATGATTTAGGCGAGTATCAGATTGAACCAAATGTGATGTTTACCTGTGTAAAAAGGCCTCAACCTCCGGACTGATACTTGTCTTCTCAGCACTGACGATGACCCCAAGAACGACGACAGCTAGAACCCCAGAAACTTTAAGAAACTGTTCGCCTGAAATGTTAAAATACGATTTCATATGATTAGCACCAGGCCCGTAAGACACTTTTCTCCAAGGGGGGTGCGGTTTTTAGCTTACTAAAGAGAATATAAAGTTGTCATTTTTTGCCGCTTAAATCAAATCGCGTAAGTCAGAGGGGGGGGGGGTGCTCAGTTACTCCCTATATTGGTTTGGAATTAACAAATGCAACTTCCAAAAGTTCCAATTGTGGGGGGGGGGGTGTGAGGAGTGGCCCACTCCCCCTAGAAAATTTTACAGTTTTGAGATGCTATTTGGTGCTTTCTGGGCACTTTCAAAGTGTAAGTTTCCAAGTTGAACGCCACCACCACGGGAATAAGAGTTGAGTGAATAAAAACTGAGCATTCAGAGGGGTCTGGGGGTTCTCCCCCAGGAAAATTTTGAAATTTGGTTGTATGTGGAGCGAATTTGCAACCATCTGGTACGCCTGTGCGTTATGAGTCAATAAGAAAAATGTGTATTTTTTTCAAATTCTTTTGGGGGTGTCAAAGTGGATGAGAGGGTGAAGTGGGATGTAATGCCAGTAGGGGAGCAAGGGGTTGTCCCCCAGAAACATTGACCATATCAAGGTGCTATTTGATGATGTCTGGGCACTTAAAAAATGTCTGAGACAATACATGAAATTCAGAATATTTTCTTTTGTTTTGTGGGGGATGTGAGGGTTGGCTAACTCTCCTAGAAAATTTTAAAATTTAAAGATGATATTTGGTGCTTCTGGGCACTTTTAAAGTGTATTAGTCAATAAAAACATTGAAAAACAATCACAATTTTTTCAAATTTTGGGGGTTTCAAAGGGGGGGGGGGGTGCCAGAGGGGGAGGTGGGGCTGGGGTGCCAGAGGGGGAGCAAGTGTTTGTCCCCCATATCAAAATTTACAATATCAAGGTGCTATTCGATGAAGTTTGGGCACTTTAAAAGTGTCTGTGCCTAAAAGTGCCTATTTCCCAAGAAAATTTTACAATTTTAAGATGCTATTTGGTGCTTTCTGGGCACTTTAGTCAATAAAGTTAATAAAAAAATTTGAATTTTTTTTTTTGGGGGGGGGTGTTAAGGGGGGGGGGGGCTGCCATCGGTCTATGTAAGTGCAAGATGCAAGGGGGGGAGCAAGTCCCCCAGAAACACTAATTATATCAAGGAGCTATTTGATGATGTCTGGGCACTTTAAAAGTGTCTGAGACAAAACACTAAAATAAATTTAGAACTTTTCCATTGTTTTGTGGGGGGGTGAGGGGTGGCCAATACCCCTAGAAAATTTTACAATTTTAAGATGCTATTTGGTGCTTTCTGGGTACTTTCAAAGTGTATGAGTCAATGAAAAAAAATTACAAAAAGAATTTTTTTTCAATTTTTTTTTTTTAAATTTATTTTGGGGGGTGACAAAGGGGGGTGCGGTCGCACCCATCGCACCCCCCCATCTGACGGCCCTGAGCACGTTATATAACGTGGCGCTTTAAACGTTCCCATTTCGAACGAAGTTGAGCTAATAGGACAGAATTTTCATATTATTAAAATGTATGCGAAATGGTGAGGTGCACGTGCAACAGTTCATTTAGGATATGTCGGGAAAATATTATATACGGTTGCCTCGGTAGTAAGACGATACTCAGTATACAATACATTAGTTCATGATACATGCTAGATATGGTTCAGGTGGCTGAATTAGTTTTCATATATAATTATGAGCATATTTCCGATCCGAACATCCGATGCTGTATATCCTAGATGTAACTCCTCAGAAATCAACATCATATTTTATATCAGACACATTGAACACAAGCCTGTTGAGTGTCAATTGTAAATAACTTACCAATGTAATAAGTGACATATGTTGATGCCAGTGTGATTGTTATTTCCGTCAATGCGTCATTGAATATTTTGGACAGCCAATATGTTGTTAGCTTCCCCATCACAAGGCCGAATGCAGGGCCACCCAGAGCGACTTGCAAAAACTCAAATAAAATCTCATGGCCTAAAATATAATAATTACAAAATTGAATCATATAAAGGATCAGAACTGATCAATTCTCATCCCAGGACTTTTTAGACATTTCGGGATAAACTATTGTTGTGTCACAAACCTGCCATTGTCATTCCTGGTGTGGCCAACTTCAAAAAGACTTTGAACAGCACTATAGCCGCTCCATCATTCAAGAGTGATTCACCTTCGATCAATGTGCCAAGCTGCTTAGATGCGCCTAATAAGAGAAGAAGCAATTATCATACTTAGAGATGCACGTTCATTCACTCCAATAATCAGACATTGTGTAATAATAATAAATGCATCCTTCTGTGATTCATACTTCAAACCTCGTGTTCAAGAGTTTTGGAATTTACAACGAAGTGGAAGTCGTCAATGTCCAAACTTTAACCATTCCTATTTAACTGGCAAACGGTGGGTTCAAACAAATCAACCATTAAATCAGTACGAACGAAATGATTACGCTTAACTCCTTTATTTAATGATCACCTAGGTCTTTAAGTAATGCCACAACAGCCACTGGGTCAGTGGCACTCAAGATGGATCCAAACATCATAGACTCAGTCCACGTCCACTCGTATGTAAAAACAAACATAGCAAAGAGTCCTGTCAGTCCAGTTGCAATTGCTGAAAATCAATGACAATGAAAGATATGAATACGAAAATGTCCAAAATCAAAATAAACTATGATGCGTAAAAAATAGGAAGATTATAAGGTGAATTAAAACCACATACGCAGACATTTTTTCTTCACATTGACTTTTATGATATTAACATTCATGCGCAAGCATGTTCAAAGTATCACTGATCAGTGGACACATCTTTAGTTTTATCACGTTCGTACTATTGTCGACAATACAATATGTAGGATATGCTTACCCAATCCAGGAATAGCAAGGATCACAATCTGTACGAACGACTTGAGGAATGTATGAGCTTCCATTGCAAAAGCAGATTCGAACACAAGAACGGGCAGAAACACATTGAGAAGCGTATGTGGGTTTATATGGACAATGGTTGTGTAGGCAGCAAAACTTGGAACTTGGCTGGAGATAATGCCAATCAACGATCCAAACAGCAGCAAAATCACCGTGTATGGAAGGCGTAACTTTTGCAGTATCGTGCTCTTCATTATGAATCGAATCAGAGCTGCAATTAAAGAAGGCTAGGTTTAGTACCATCTGCGTAAATAAACTCCAAATAAATTAACACATTTTTATGTTGAATCAGATTTTGGGGGATTCAAACTTAGAAGTGGTAGATGTTGGCTTAACTGTAGCGAATTAGGCTATAATTTTACATTCTTCTTAAAATTCAAATAGGCTAAAATGAGCGATTTTTAACTTTGGCCTTATTGGGGCGAACTGCGGGCGTTTTCTTTAGGATTTCGCATGACAATATCTCAACGACTTTAGCTTGACCTACCGCCTAGAGCACAACTGGTGAACACAAACATAATCATTGTTGGCTCCGCGTGTTCGGAATGACTTTCCGTCATGGTGCTGGTCGGATGGTGTTCACGATTTGAAATAAAATATCCTCAACTCCTTTGATTTCAAACAAAACAGCCAGCCGCTCTCAACGAATTTGAAGGCAATCCGTGAATTTAACACTAATAGTAGTATACATTGTATACTTTTGCCTGATTTATAACTTTATGTTCATCCATCATGGCTCCGTCCTTTATCCAATATGGCGGCAATTGCGCGTCAAATCTTTATGACGTCAATTATTCAAATATGACGTCACGACTTAAGGAAATAGCATCATATCACAGATTTGGGTACTTGTTCAGTCTATGATCTGAGAATGATCAAACCATTTTCTATTCCAATGCAGCCCAGCCTAGTCAATTATGTAAGAAGCCCGTGATTTAATTTAGGCCTACTCTCGTCTCTCACGCGTGACTCTGTACATGCATATAGAGAAGACTATTCAACAAGGCCCGGGATCTAGACCTATTCATAATTAGAGCTGATTTTCAATTTGGCCCTAATCGGGGCTATAAGATACCACGGACCTGAAGATACCCGGTATGTCATGATAAGTAATGAGGCCCCAGACTAGGTTCATTTATTGTATTATATTTCTTTATTTCCAATTGAACCATGGACTTGATTTGATTCCTTTTCATTAAACTAAATGTAATAAATGCTCTTGCGATTGCCAATAGAATGTCAAAGTGCTCTTATAACGAAAGTGGACACAACAGCGAGAAGTAGGAGACAGCGGCACAAGACGGACACCCTAAGAACAGTCATTTTTAACAGCTTGTATAGATATTTCGCAAGGGTTTCTGTCCGCTGAACCCAAGTTTATTGAAACAAGGAACATTGGTTCTCTGAGATACAATGTTTTTGAAATTTTTGAATTGCTATATGCCCCTCACTTTTGAAAATTGATTTTGTGTGGTCATGGGGTAAGAAGGACCTAAGCCTAAAATTTCCAAAACAGTAACTTAATCCTACACAAGAAAGGTATCTGAATTGCAAAGACTTTTGGATTGTCTTAAAAACATACCGGTAAGCTGGAGGCCCTTCACTGACACGCAGTTCAAGGGGTTTTCTCAGTCGAAAATCCCCTTTGAACGACTCTACATGTAAGCTTATCTACAGTGCGTATCAAAAAAAACGCAACAGATTGTTAACTCGAAAAAGCAAAAAACAGTGATAACAGCATTGATTTCATTCGATGTACCATAAAGCCATGTGTCTCCTCTTTCCAATGGTATATCATTCATTGATATCGGGTCATGATTGGGCGAGTAATCATTCCTTTTGCAAAGTTAGGCAAAATTAGCTTGGGACCAAGTTATGAACACCGCGATAGTCCGTGCACAGAGCGAGGTGTCATTGGAAGAATACAAAAAACAGAGATTAATGCATCATTTTCATTCAATGTACCACAAAGCCACATTTCTCCTCTTTGCAATGTTATGTCATTCATTCTCAGTGGCCAAATAATCATTGATCTCGCAAAGTGGGGTAAAACTAGCTTAGAACAAAGTTTAAAACATTGCAAAAGTCAATGCAATGGGCATGGCTATTGGAAAAAGGCGTGACAGGTGTGGCATAGACAGAAAAGTGTTCATACTCTTACAAGAATACATCATTTACCCCTCCGAGATGCAACCACTCCTTAATTAACAAGCAAAGATGCGCACATCCCTCAATGTCACTCATGGCTCAGCTCTGAGTCATCTGTGGGTTAAGGCGGAGAAAAGCAACCAATTGGCAATTCCTTTTCGAAATTTTGCAATATCTGGGTGACGAATGGTTAACACTCTGCTCCTGAGATAGCTCCAAAAGAAAAAGTCACAACAATTCAGGTCAGGAGAACTTCCATTAGCACTTAACCCTTGCACTGACTTTTGCAATACCGGAAACTTGGTCAAAAGCCGACTTTGGCCAATTGTGCAAAAGGAATGATTTTTCGTCCAACCATGGCCACATGTGAATGAATGGCATACCATTTCAAAGAGGAGGGATGTGGCTTTATGGTATATTGAATGAAATTGATGTAGTCATCACCGGTTTTGTAGTTTTACGAGATAACTGTTTGTTGCGTTTTTTGATACGCCCTGAATAACCCTGTTTATTATTTCATGAAGATACTCAGTAAAATTACGATTTCTCTGTGCCTTGGTGTCCAATCAATATCATTCGAGTATATCTATGTGTTCCTGACAAGTTTGGGCATCCGGGAAAGACAACGTCTACCCAAAGTTTGCACGCCATATTGACGTAATTTGTTATTGAAATCGAGAAGACAAAACAGTTTTGTTAACAGTTTTATATTCTGAATCTTTAAAATCATGGGTGTATCGTATCCATGATATCATATCCATTCAATAACCATGGGCTTTGGGTGTATAGGCTATTAAGCAGCCTACCTCAATGTATTAACTAACTATAAAAAACTTAACCATGTAGGTCCTATTCATAACATGGACTTCTAATCACACCCGGAATAGCCTGACAACGGTAAAGTCAGATACCGTTGTCACAAATGGCGGACATCTGTTTAATCACCTGGTCCTCATTTCATGGGATTTCATCGTCGTTAATTCTGTGCATGTATTAAGCTCTCGTGATGATTTTCATTTGGAATCCCAATTTTGATCAAATTATGTCGTGAATCGCCACAATATAGCGTCTTCGATATCGTACATGACAATGGAATCTGAATTTGACTAATTTAGAAAGACAACGGCATATAGTAATTACAGTGTACGTTGTTAATCTCATTTAGATCGGTAAAATAGACTTTACTTCGATCATGGGCTCTGATAGAGCCCATGCTTCGATGGTAGAACATTATTAACTGTACAATACGTATTAGGACACTTTTATTGATTGTTGTTCCAAAGGAATTTAGTCTAGGTGCTCTATTAAACATACAGTTCATGAAAATCTAAGTGAAGCGACGGTTATGTCCGCCATTTGTGACAACGATATCAAACTTTACCGTTGTCAGGCTATTCCGGTGTGAATCAGAACTTTTAATGAGAAGTCCATGTGATTAGAAGACCATGTATATAATAATCCGTGGAAACTAACATATTATAACTAAGCCTTTCATCTTTCATTTGGCCTTCAACGAAAAATAGACAGGTGATGTTATTCCAAGCCATGATCTAATCGCAGAATCTGGAAAAATAATATTCTTCATTCTATTTATTCCAATATGGCTTGTTTGGGCCTTTTATTCCAGAGACATGTAGGCCTATTCAACGCGTTTCTTATGAAGAGGATCTGAAGAATGTTTTCATTCAGATTAGTTTTTTGCCTCGGTAAGTTACCTGAGTTGAATCAAAAACGTAGAATGTGGCACCGCATGTCACGTGATATACAATGATATAGAAAAAGTATGTAAATTAGTGCCATCTGTTGTTTTAAAAAAAATAAAGTTTTGCCCCCATGCCTGTTTATTCCATGCTCACCTCGTGTAGCCATGTGTGAGGGAAGCGGGTCTATTATAAATACAGGATAACACTCTAACACGGATTTTCAAATCGGAAGTTGTAACATTAGCATTATTGACAATTGATGATTGAGTCCAATGATGTGCAACGATGGGATTGTCCGAGAGTAATGATATTCCGAAGCGTTATCATGCAATCATATCGAATTATTATAGACCATTAAAGAAAACATTTTGTTGTGCATTGTACCATTGTCAAGCGCAAACAAATGCCAACTAAAGACGAGGATGGGAAAAAACATGTTCGCATACGTAAGCATTGCCACAATGTAGTACGAACATGATCGCTGTTTTGTCGATAATAATAAGCAATCATGAAGACTGAGTATAAATTGTTTTAAAATCATCTCATTAAATGGATTATACTGGACGGATTCAATGCTGTAAGGGTGATCAGTGTAGGTAGAATGCGTTGAAAACACATCACCAACTTCGTCTTATTATCTTGATTGTTTTAAAGTGGACAATCAAAGTGATGCGATCATATAATTACTAAACCAATGAAACACAAGATTAAATAAAACGATTAACGTCGTGGTGATGTCACAATGAATTGGATATTTTAGACCTTTTGGTGCCATTTCGAAATTTTCATCAGCGTTGAAAAGTACGGAAAGAATGAAAGTTGGCCTACATCATCATTTTGGACGCCTTAAAGTATCCACAGCTATAACAAACGTGTTTATAATAACGTATTCAATAGGTAAGACTGGGCATTAATTATTCTATTAATCAAATGGTCTAAATGTGTCAATTATAAGTGGGATTCGGCTTATTTCAATTAGTTGAAAATAAAAATACGCCAAGAAGCTTAGGCTTCTTAGCATTTTACTATTCGCATATTTAGGTATTTAATCTCTTTACGTAATTGATGATGTTTTGTGGTAATATGTTAGGATTAATGATTGATGTGTTTGTTAACACGAATATAATTATGCTTTGTTGAATTTAAAACTGAAATAGCAAGATTAGATCTCTATCAAACAAAATCTGTAGAGAATTCAAAACCATTGCATTTTACTTATGAAGGTGAATATGTTTTAAGTTCAGCCGTGTCACTTTTATAATTCCCGTTAAGATAAGATTGCGCTAAGGCAAAACTGAAAATGAAAACCTATTTACACGTACTTCAAGTTATTAAGATACAAGTAAACAAACTACAAATGCCAAATCTTTGTCAGTAATTATGTCGATTTCGAAAATTTGAGGTGTAATAGAGAATTAGAGCATTTACCAGTTTACTGTTTAATGTTTATTAGTTTGGTAAATAAGATAGGCAGGGTACTCCATAATAACAATTGAATTTAATATTCAACTAGGAAAGTCAACAATTAAATGTACACAATCCACTCCACTTGATGAAACCGTTTTATCAGATTCGTTTTATCACCGTCGTCAATTAATTCTTTTGTGACATTAAATAAATGTACATTGATGAGACAAATATAGAACAGACAACAAGAAGCCCAGTCGTAATGTCATCAAGTGCGTTCACATTCAATTACATTTTTCAAACAGCGCATGAATAAACCTGAGCATATCAGAATAATGCGTGTGTAATTAGAAATACAGGACGTACTTAACCGCATGCGTTTTAATTGCAATGCATGGTTAATTACAACTTTTTTCACTCGCTTCATCGAATCCTTGTTAGCATCCATCATTCAAACTATTAAATGACATTTTGATGAGAAAATAATCGAGCTATCAAAAATGTATGACAC